AGTCTTGTCAAGTTTACTTTTTTAATAGCGGAGAAGTAATCTTGCTGCTTTCAATGGCAGCAACTCTCTAGGCAACTGCTGAATTCATAACGATACAGATGGTGCCTGCCATTTCTTTTTTCAGCACCACACTGCACTACTAGTCTGACATGTGGTACTTGTTTTATACCATAATGCGGCAGCTGGAGACACTTTTCTTGGAGGTAAAAGCAGTGTTGCTTTCGTTTTTTTCTTAGCAGCATTGAATTTTTATCCACCTGCAGGCAAGATTTATTTTTCCTTCTAAGGTGGTGGAGCTCATAATCATGATCTGATTTGAATTTTTTGGCATGGTGCCATTCCCTCTCTGACACTATAAACTGGCATGGCTAAGCAGCCTTCCCGTGATAAACAGCAAATAGTACAAACAGGCACCTAGATAGCCCTGGACAGACTGCAGAGAAGCCATGTAAAATGTTTAAACAGAAATATCACCCTTTGGATTGTGCGTCTGTCCAGTGATGTGGCTAATATTTAATTATACCAAATTAAACCAAAATAGTCCTAGCTACTAAAATAAATAAATTAAACTTAATGCTTCTGAGCAGAATGCATTTTGTCCTTGTCTAATCTTTCCTGACAATCTCTGATGTGCTGTTGACTGCAGCTGGAAAATAGACTGAAGCAAGAGACTCATGTGACTGAAGTCCAAAGTGCAAGCATGTAATAATTATAAAGAAAATTCTAGTTTCTTAATCTCTTACACACAATCCCACTGTAATTTCTTGGTCGGAGGTTGTTTGAGTCTCTGGATGTTGCTGCAGTGTGTTTTTCAATAGTTATTATAACAATGTGATAGCATAAGCCAGCTTTTTATGTTTAAGTTCCTATTTGTTGGAAATTTTCGAGGTAGTCTGGCACTAATGAATGGAACGAGAAAACAAAACATGACACAGAATAAAACTCGTAATAGAAATACCAGTCCTCATTCTCAGTGATGTACATGTGTTCTCATCAGGTTACATGATGATCTCCAACAAAGACAGGGCCAGATTCTGATCTTAATTGTATTGTATGGAGCTGGACTGACTCCTTTGTCTTAGAATTACATTCCATAAGATCTGAAATCAGCACTTCAGGCCATGACTTTTAATATGTGGAAAGGATTTCATATTTAGCACATCATAATAATGTTCCTTTGGAGCTCAGAATTCAGAACAGCACCGAATTCTGGGATATATTTCCTCCGGGGTATGGCTGTGAGTAGACCCTGAGCAGTGACAGTGGGTCTCAGCACAGAGCTTAAGAAATACTGCTCTTACTTGCAGCCCAATCAGCATGAAGCTGTGGTCCATGTGATATTCTCAAAGCCATACAGGAATAGGTTGAACCTCTCTCATCCAGCACCGTTGGGACCTGATTGGTGCTGAACCAAAGAATTTGCCGAACCCTGGGAGGTCAATATTGTCTTGCAGCAATACCAACACTTCCACTGCTTACTGGGCTCTCAGAAGACATTTGGGGTAAATTAGAGCAAAATAACAGCACTGAACACCTAGAGCCAGGACTGGAAGCTGAAAAGAACATTTATGAGTACGGGAAACTTGGCCACACCCATGGTAAGTGGACATCTGACTAACTAAAATCATGTCAAACTATGGATGTTGCCAGACCAGAGAATAGAGTGCTGGATTAGAGAGGTTCAACCTAGGGTATGTATGTGGCCCACATAATACACAAAGAGCTGTATATGAGGCCCAAAATGGTATGCAGGTTGAGAATCACTGATCTAGAAGACCCTTCCAGCAACTGCCTTAACCCACACCAGTGGCACTCCTTCCTGAAAGTTTCATAACTTGTCAGATTTGAGCAATATGCATCTTAACATAGATTTGTTCTTGGAGCAATTAAAAAACATGTTCACCAATAGTTGTCTTCAGTACATGTGCATTGGAATATTTCAAAAGCCTGTTACTTAACTACATATACGAGTACAGAACTTAGTTGAAGTCTTCAGGAAAGGAGTGGGTGATCACATTAGCCTGTTAGTGCTAGATCAGATAATTTTCTTTGTTTTTGTTGCATAAATAGAAAAAAGCAAACACACAGATCTTTGTTGTCAAATCAGATTCAGACTCCAAAATGGATTCCAAGTCCTGCTCACATCTCAGCTTGAAAGGTTATGCTTTTATCCCTATGTATAAAGTGAGTGCAGTCAGCAAAATAGCACGTTTTATCAGTTCTCTGTGAAAGCCCAGTGTGGTGGCTGCTTGTACGTGGAGGTGCAGGAGGTAGAAAGGTGCATTTCTCTGCTTGGTCATATGCTTTGTCTGAATGTAAGCTACATGATCATTCTAGCACTACTCACTGCCACAGAGTGACTTTTGTGTGAGCTCAAATCAGAAATAATGGTTAAGGAGAATTTCCAAAAAACCAACCATTGCTTATTTGTCCCATTCCCATACTACTTTCAGAATTCAGATGAACAAGTTTATAGAATTATAGACAAGGGTAACAGGTCGTTTCCATCTAGCATTTAACAACTGGACAGGCATGTTACACTGAGTTGGATTTTTTTTTACCGTTCTCTGAAGCACCATGCTTCAGCTGCTGTCAGAGAAAGGGTCACTGTAAGACTTGATGGACCATTGATGTGATATGAGATAGCAAATCTGCACTTCTCAGCTTCCTCCTCTTTTTTGCTGGAAAAGGAGAATAACGAGGGTGACTGAGAGAGAAACAACTGAGGAATCCCTGTGAAATTAAGAAAAGGGGAGGTCAAAAGAGCAGAAAAATGGGGGGAAATAAAATGCAGGGAGCAGACAAAACCCCCTCTTCTATCCTTGTATTTCCTGTGTAAGAGATAGGGAGTGCAATAGGGTAGGGACAGGGTCACGTAAGTGGAGTCAGAATAAGTTATTTTTATACTGGGGGCTCAATTTTAGCACCCTTAATTTGTGTAGTGCCTTATTCCACACAGTTCTAGAGATTTCAATGGGACTTCTTCTAGAGTACGGTACCATTCAATGGGAGCAAAGGCAGCAGGAGCTAACCTAAAAGTACATAATGGGCAAGTGCAAAAGTAAGGACTCCACAGGATGTTATGTAGTGTGTCTGTGTGCACACGTACATGCATATAAAATGGCAGCGACCTCTGAACTTATAAGGACAGTATACACCAAATAGGTCTTACATTTTACAGGCTTTTTTACTGTGAGCAGACTTGGGAATACACATATTTGAGGTCAGTAAGTATAGCTTCCAGACAGATTTGGAAGCCTTTATCTCACATTTTTACCAGGCTCCCAGAGTGGCAAAATTAAAGGGCTACAGGCCTTAGTGAAGCTGAAATACTGATCCAATGGAATGTTAATAAGCAAAGTCAGAATATTGTTCAAATCAAGAAACATCATTTGCTGTCGGGAAATATAAGACGGAGTCTATGTCAGCTACTATTAGACTATACCCATTTGTATAAGAAATGTGATTTGTGGGGAAAAAAAGCACTCATGTCTGTAGTTTAAAACTAGTGATGTGATTAGGTTAATGCTTCATCTACCAATGGTCAAATGTGCTTTTTGAAAAAAGGTTAGGTCCTCTGAAAATCTTGGTCATTAGTTTCAAAATCCATTATAGCAACCAACATTCCCTTACCATAGCCAAGATATTTTTAAAGCTTGCTATTCTTTTAACTCTTTAATTAGTGTTAGTTGTCTTTTAAATTTTTCAATCCTTTCACTTAGATTCTTATCTCTCCATGTAGTTTAGTCCTGTTGTTGTGACTTCAGGCTAGCTATTCAGCACTTGGAGGCCATGCTTTATCTTCATAAATTGTGTATATATATATAATTTTATTCTGATGTATTATTTGTTGAGCACCAATCCTGTGCTGAGCATTGTATAAGAAGAAAATGGAAAAGTTTGTGCCCGAAGAAAGCTAAATGGATCGACAACATGGAAGATCCACAAGATCGTAATAGCATAGTTTAGTTACATATATATGTCTGAGTTAATGTTTTTCCTATATGTGATTATTTAATGTTGCTGTAGGGCTGAATTAATGAGCTACCTGTATATAACTATTTAATAATGTTGGGTGGTATTATTGAGTTACATTAGGTTTAATAAATTTTAGAGCATGTAGATCTTTCTGAGCAAGTGTCTTTTATGATATGTAATCTAGAAGACTTACCCAGATTGCTCAGTCCTTCAATGCAGTGGGCTAGTGATGTGGGAGGTGCAAAGGTCAGAGCAGGGCTTTGGGATTCTTAGTGAGCAGGAGGTTGGGGATCTGGGTGGTGCAGGAGTCAGGGTGGTGGTAGAGGAGAAGCTCAGGGCAAAGAGCTTGGAATATGGTGCTTGAGGAGGGCCTCAGAGCAGCAAGTCCGATCCAGCATGGCTTTCTCTCCACTCTGCATGGCAGGGGCTTTCTTTCTCCCACCATTGTACTTGGCTGGCAGGTTCTTCCTCCCCACTGCCAGGACCTTCTTTCTTCCCCACTATTTTACTGACTGGCAGGGAACTTCTTTCTCCCACCCCATTCTCCCTGGCCAGCAGGGGCCTTTTCTCTCCCCTATCCCTTCCCCCCACTCAGCTCCTCTGGCCAGCAGAGGCCCTCGCCCTTCCCTACCCCCAGCTTCCCCACTCAGCCCAATGGTCAATTATATTATAGTTTTTTCTGGACTCGCTTCCCTCAATGGCTACTCTCAGTATTGCATTTCTCTTCTCTGTGCCCCCTTACTTTCCATGTTAAAGAAAACATTCCCGTTCCCGGCACTTCTCATTTTCCAGACACAACCAAACCCTGACTTTACTTTAAGTTATGATAAGAGGAAGCTGTATACCAAATCTGGTGGTCCTAGCTCTTACCTTTTTTTAGAAGGAGTTCTGGAGCAAACAGAATCACGGATAGACAGATGCACATTTCTAAAATAGAGAGATAAATACAATATTGTTTAATTTTTATGCATTTCTGTTTTTTTCTCATCACTAAAATGGAATTTTTGAATCTTGTAAAACAGTGAGAGTCTTCTGAAGGGATGTGAACAAGTTGAGGATGCATGGCTGGCTTACAGGAATAGAATGCCTTCCACTGGTTTATTGACTTCAGAGGGAGTAAAGTTACGCCTTTAAAAGTAAATGTTTTAAGAATTTCACTTTCATTTTTTTTCCTGCACTTAAAAATGAGTAACTATATTGTTCAAGCTTTAACAAATTACTAGAAGTGCAACCTTTCCAGTTGCTGGTAACGGGACATAGAAGGCCCCATTCCTGCCTCATGCCTTCCCTCCAAGTCCCCATTCCTTCTCAGCCTCTTCCCACCTCCATCACTCATTCCTCTTCCCCCTTCTCCATGCTCACTGCATCATCTTAAGGAGCCTGCCCACAGATAGAAGGTGGCCCTGACTGATCAGGGGCTGCGGATTAATGATCCAGCACCTCCCCTCTGCCCTATGGTGACCAGACTTTTGGTTCTGGTACCATTTTAGGATTGCAAAGCCCCTGTCTGACCAGACTTTCAGGTAAAAAACTGGGCACCTGGCAACCCTTAATGACAGTGGGACACAGAAGCCAAAAACCTGTGGGTATGTCTACACTACCTTCCTAGTTCGAACTAGGAGGGTAATGTAGGCATACTGCACTTGCAAATGAAGCCCGGGAAATTCAAATCGCGGGCTTCATTTGCATAAGCGGGGAGTCGCCATTTTTAAAACCCCGCTGCTTCGAACCCCGTGTAGCCGCGCTGCACGGGGTTCGAACCAGCAGGGTTTTAAAAATGGCGGCTCCCCGCTTATGCAAATGAAGCCCGGGAAATTCAAATCGCGGGCTTCATTTGCATAAGCGGGGAGTCGCCATTTTTAAAACCCCGCTGCTTCGAACCCCGTGTAGCCGCGCTGCACGGGGTTCGAACCAGCAGGGTTTTAAAAATGGCGGCTCCCCGCTTATGCAAATGAAGCCCGGGAAATTCAAATCGCGGGCTTCATTTGCAAGTGCAGTATGCCTACATTACCCTCCTAGTTCGAACTAGCGGGGTAGTGTAGACATACCCAGACTATCTGGGAAAAACCAGTGGCTACCTTACATCTGACATCAGCTGTGTTCTCTCCTCCATAAATTAAGCAAATGTAAACCTGTGAGCCGGAACATCAATCAAAGGAGTTTTCCATTAGAAAAAGGTGCAACTACATGGCCTTCAGGTAAGTTTGTTGTCTGCTAGTCTGTGTGTGTTGTGTGTTTGCTGGCTTGCTTGTTACACATCTGCTTGACCAAAGTTTTTAATGTGGTCTGTTTTGAGGCTGTGTGTTAAGCCAATTGGCCTGTTATGCTAGGCTAGGCTAGGCTGAGATCTTACTGAAGAGACTGTAAACTTCTATGCTTCCATTCCTAAACCCTTTAGAATCCTTTGACAAGATGGTGTACTCACTCAGGAAGAATGGGGGTTTAAAAAACCAGCTCCTAAACCAGCAGAGGAAGTAACAAAGAGAAGCAGCAAGCAGGAGAATTCTGTAAAGCAGTTTAGAGAGGTCAGAGTCAGATACACCTAGCTAACAAACTCTCAGCTTTGGCCAATAACCCGAAAGAATAAACAAACACAAATCATTCAAGAGTAAAAATAATGCAGGCATAAGTTCAGCAGAAGAGTTTATTACTTCAAAGTAGGAATAAGATCCTCCGGAAAAGGGTGCTTTTTCCGGAAAATCGGGGCCAGTGTAGATGCTCTTTTCCGGCTTTTCTAAAAGCCAGAAAAAAGCGGCGGACATTTTTATTTAAATGCCACGGGGGATATTTAAATCCCCCGCGCATTTCCCTATTGCGATTTCAAAATTACCATGCCCCTTCCGGAAAAGGGGCCAATGTAGACAAGCCCGTCCAGTCCCCTGGCCTCACAGGAGGATCCAATACCATCTAGACCATCCCTGATGTCTATCTAACCTGCTTTTAAATATCTTCAGTGATGGAGATTCCACAAACCCCTTGCCCCCAAGTCAATGTATTCCAGTGTTTAATCACCCTGACAGGAAGTTTTTCCTAATGTCCAACCTAAACCTCCCTTGCTGCAATTTAGGCCCATTGCTTCTTGTCCTATCCTCAGAGGCCAAGGAGAACAATTTTTCTCCCTCCTCCTTATAACACCCTTTTAGATACTTGAAAACTGCTATAATTTCCCCTCTCAGTCTTCTCTTTTCTAAACTAAACAAGCCCAGTTCTTTCAGTCCTCCCTCATCGCCCATGTTTTCTAGACCTTTAATAATTTTTGTTGCTCTTTTCTGGACCTTCTCCAATTTCTCCACATCTTTCTTGACATGTGGTGCCCAGAACTGGACACAATACTCCCACTGAGGCCTAATCAGGGCAGAGTTGAGCGGAAGAATGACTTCTCATGTCTTGCTCATAACACTCCTATTAATGCATCCCAGAATCATGTTTGCTCATCCCTTCTCTTCGCCCCACTCACAGTAGCTGCCCTTGGCAAGGGCAGACTCAGAGTTCAGAGATGCATCCACAGAGTTTACCTCCCCTCCTGCTCACTGATCTCTGCAACTTGCTGGCCACTCATTATGGTTCTCCACCACCAACCTGCTGACCACTTGTGCTGCTGCTGCTCTGCTGGCCATTCATCGCCTCTCTCTGCTGCCACCCTGCTGGCTGCTCATCACATCATCCACTTCTTGGCTGTCTCAAATGCTCCCAGTGATTTCAACTCTTAGCAAGCAGGGTAGGAGAAACACACTCCAACACAATTAACATAAGAAAAAAGGCACCTAGGATGCCTATTTAGCTCTGTTCTTCAAATAGGTCAAACCAATCCAGGCAGAGGAAGCCATTTAGCCTCCTGACCAGAATAACCTTCCTTTACCTCTCATAGGGCTCTGAGCCCCTGCATTTGAGAGATTCTTTCTGCTAACTGTGAGCTCTTTCATTTAGAACAATTTAGCACAGTCCTACTTTTCTGTATTCCCGCAAAATTACAAACACTGGTAACCATATTTTAACTACCCCTGCATTTAATACAAACATAGCTGGTGTTGGGTTACAAATTAAGTTGACTACAATGGGCAAAATACCACTCTATCTGCTGAATATCTAACACATCTCAGAAAAGCTGGAGCAAACTAAATTTACATAGAAAATTGTATGGGTTTCGCCCCCATTCCAGCTAGATCCTTTAGATCCCTCTTACATCTATTAGAATTCTTTGATGAGTCAACAATCGTGAAGACAAGGGAGATTCAGTGGATACATACTCAGACTTTCGGCAAGCCTTTCATAAGGTTCCTTGCCGAAGGCTCTTTAGCAAAGTAAGCTAGCGTTATATGAGTGGCGGTCCTCTCATGGGTCTGTGACTGGATAAAAGATAGGAAACAAAGGGTAGGATTAAATGGACAGTTTCACAATGGAGAATGATAAATAATAGAGTCCTCCAAGGATCTGTACTGGGAGCTGTGCTTTTCAACATATTCATAAATGATCTGGATGGTGCAAAATTACTCATAATTAAATCCAAATCGACAAGAGTCAGGGCACGTCTTAACTATGGGGTTTTTTTGAAAGAAGATCTTTTGAAAGTGAAAGTAGTCTGGATGTGGTTTTTTTGGGGAAAAAAACCTTTCAAAAAAACTGCATAAACCACCTTTTTATAAGGAAGAGTGATTTTTTTCGAAAAAGACTTTTTTTCCTGAAAAAAACCCCCGTATCCAGACTAATTTCACTTTTTAAAGATCCTCTTTTAAAAGTGAAATTGGAAGAAGATATGCAAATTCCATAGGAAATTCTATGTAGTCTAGACAGTCTTAGAAATGGAGCTCATACAACTGGGTAATAGAGCAAAAAATGGCAGATTAACTTTAATGTTGATAAATCCAAGGTAATGAACATTGGAGAAAAAATAATCCCAACTATACATATAAAATGAGTTTAAATTAGTTGTTACCATTCAAGACAAAGATCTCAGAGTCATTATAGCTAGTTCTCTGAAAGCATCTGCTCAGTGTGAAGTAGCAGTCAAAAAAGCTACCAATATTAGGAACTACTAGGAAAGGGATGGCTAATAAGATAGAAGAAATGAAAAAGCTACTATATAAATCCATGTTATGCTCACACCTAGAATATGGCATGCAGTTCTTGTTTCCACACGTGAAAAAATATATTAGAATTGGAAAAAAAGGAGAAGGGCAACGCATAACAATTAGGGGTTATGGAATGACTTCCATATGAGGATGCATTACAAGATTGGGACTGTTCAGTTTAGAAAAGAGATGACAAGGTAAAATATGACAGAACTCTATAAATCATGAATGGAAAAAGTGAACAGGTAAATGTTATTTACCCCTTTTCACAACACAAGAACCAGGGGTCATGCAATTAAATTAGTGGCCTGCAAGTTAAAAAAAAAAACACAAGGAAGTATTTTTTCACATAATGAGCAATCTTTTGTAAATGCCAAAAAGAATTGGCTAAGTTCATGGAGGACAGGTTCATCATGGGGTGTTGGCAAAGCTGGGCAGGGAACAATCACCCGATCTGTTATGACTCAACTTCTGACTGCTGAAAGCTGGGACTAGACAACTGGGGGTGGATTGCTTAATGACTGCCCTGTTCCTTCATTCCCTCTGAAGTATGCCTTGCTATCAACATCTGGAAAACGGGGAACTTGGCAAGATGAACAATAGTTCTGACCAACTAAGTTGCACTTATATAACAACAAATTTCTGAAGTTCCTTAATCTGCCTGCAAAAATCATAAAAGATGGTGATATAACTCCCACCTTTTACCTCCATGACATTGTTATATATTAGACCCTTAACAAGAGGTTAATTGTAGGTACTTACACATGGGAAAGTATAATCAGTGTTTCTCTTTGACAATCTTGGCAGTCTTCCTTTCATGAAAGAAAATAACCTTCCAGCTGGATATAAAAACGTCTTCTTGTGCTACTGAATAGAACAGGTTTAAAGAATGACTATCGTGTGATTCATATGATTTCAGTCTGTAGCTCAGTGTCAAATTTGGATGCTCTGGCAGTGTACACAATTCTTGTCATGGTGCTTACCAAGCTCATTGAGGCTATCGATTGGTTTGTGTCAAAGCTATTTTGCTTGGCAAGGTTGTGTACACCTGCCGTGTGTAATTTAAAGTCTGTGGTTTCTGTTATGGAATTCCTTCCTTCGCTAGCTCTGGGAATATTTTGTGCATTCTCCTTAAATTGTTTTTAAAATACATAGACCATCAAGTGGTTCATAAAATATAAAAACAGTTCATTGTGCTACAGCCCCAATAAGAAGATGTATATTAGTAAGGTAGCTGAAGAGAGTGTGTTGAAGGAGTCGGAGTGTTACTCTTTAAGACAGCTGTTAAATCACCTTCCCCATTAACTGGTGACATTTGAGTTAAACTAATGAGAAGTACGTCTGCTGCAATGTAGTGTACATTTATTCTTGGAGATTGGTTTTTCAACTTACACACTGTTTTACCAATACTCTTAGCAACCCTAACAACTGTATAATGATGCCATCCATTAAAGCCAAACTGTTGCAGAGAACCTTATTTGATCCAGTCTGAAACTTTTCTATTTCTGACCATCATTTTCTTTTCTCTTCCTCCCTTCTCCTCCTTGTCTTTCATTGGAAAAAGGTAAGCGAGACAAAAGAAAATGCATTCTCATCTTTTGATCCACTGGAGTATATATGCTATGTGAAGAAAAACAGACAAAATGCCGAAATAACGTTCTTGATAAAATGGATGTTTCCACACTCATATATTGCTACTGTCTTATTGCCATAAAAATCCCAAGTATTTTGGCATAAGCCTAATGCTGCTTGCACAAGAGGAGTGTTTAAAGTACAACCTTAAATCTCATCTTTGATACAATCTGTGCTTTAATGAAATTTGTTCCATCAGAGATGGCTGCAGGATTCTTTACTGCTGGGAGTACATATATGCTTGCTTTAGATATGCCTTATTTAGGTTTTTTTGCTATAAATCCTTTGTGGTACTCTAAGAGCACTACTCTGAGTTCTGATCTTTTGCATTAGTACAAACACATGTAGGCTCTGGATTTCCTTGACTGTTCTAGTAAACTGGATTGGTACATAGTCTGCACAATATGTTGCTTCTTTGACACAGATAATGCACTATTCTGTTTTGTAGCACAGGAGTTTCATTTCATTCAATGGGAAAATTGGATTTCCTCCTCTTG